CTTATGTATTATACATGGAGATCATATCCCCCCTGATCATATTATACATGGAGATCATATCCCCCCTTATGTATTATACATGGAGATCATATCCCCCCTTTATGTATTATACATGGAGATCATATCCCCCCTTATGTATTATACATGGAGATCATATCCCCCCTTATGTATTATACATGGAGATCATATCCCCCCTTATGTATTATACATGGAGATCATATCCCCCCCCTTATGTATTATACATGGAGATCATATCCCCCTTATGTATTATACATGGAGATCATATCCCCCTTATGTATTATACATGGAGATCATATCCCCCCTTATGTATTATACATGGAGATCATATCCCCCCTTATGTATTATACATGGAGATCATATCCCCCCTTATGTATTATACATGGAGATCATATCCCCCCTTATGTATTATACATGGAGATCATATCCCCCCTTATGTATTATACATGGAGATCATATCCCCCCTTATGTATTATACATGGAGATCATATCCCCCCCTTATGTATTATACATGGAGATCATATCCCCCCTTATGTATTATACATGGAGATCATATCCCCCTTATGTATTATACATGGAGATCATATCCCCCCTTATGTATTATACATGGAGATCATATCCCCCCTTATGTATTATACATGGAGATCATATATCCCCCCTTATGTATTATACATGGAGATCATATCCCCCCTTTATGTATTATACATGGAGATCATCCCCCCTTATGTATTATACATGGAGATCATATCCCCCCTTATGTATTATACATGGAGATCATATCCCCCCTTATGTATTATACATGGAGATCATATCCCCCCTTATGTATTATACATGGAGATCATATCCCCCCTTATGTATTATACATGGAGATCATATCCCCCCTTATGTATTATACATGGAGATCATATCCCCCCTTATGTATTATACATGGAGATCATATCCCCCCCTTATGTATTATACATGGAGATCATATCCCCCTTATGTATTATACATGGAGATCATATCCCCCCTTATGTTATACATGGAGATCATATCCCCCCTTATGTATTATACATGGAGATCATATATCCCCCCTTATGTATTATACATGGAGATCATATCCCCCCTTATGTATTATACATGGAGATCATATCCCCCTTATGTATTATACATGGAGATCATATCCCCCCTTATGTATTATACATGGTGATCATATCCCCCCTTATGTATTATACATGGAGATCATATCCCCCCTTATGTATTATACATGGAGATCATATCCCCCTTATGTATTATACATGGAGATCATATCCCCCCTTATGTATTATACATGGAGATCATATCCCCCCTTATGTATTATACATGGAGATCATATCCCCCCTATGTATTATATGGAGATCATACATGGAGATCATATCCCCCCCTTATGTATTATACATGGAGATCATATCCCCCCTTATGTATTATACATGGAGATCATATCCCCCCTTATGTATTATACATGGAGATCATATCCCCCCTTAATCTCCTCTTCTCAGAAAGAATACATTCAGTTCCTCTAATCTTTCCTCATAGCTGATCTCCTCCATGCCTCTTATCAGTTTGGTTGCCCTTCTCTGTACTTTCTCCAGTTCCCCAATGTTTTTTTTGTGAATTGGTGCCCAAAACTGAACTGCACTTTGTATTTTCAGTACAAATTGATAGTAAGTGTTAATGGATATTTCTTCATTTTATTTTATTGTAAAAGCAACCGTGTTCCAAAATAGTAAAAAAAAAAATCACTCTTCTAATTTAGGGGTATATTTCTTGCCAATGCCATAATTCACCACCAAAGAACAGTCCATAATAAATTCTCCTACTCTTGATAATCACACAGATACCATACATGTGAATATTATTTGTTGTTTTGATACTAACTGACATTGAAACTAAATTAAAAAAAAAACTTTTTTTTAAATCTTACGTAAAACACACTGACCCTGAGCCAGACCTCTGAACCTGAACCTGACCTTTGACTCCAACCTTGATGCTAACCTTCTATTTTTAGTATATGTGTATCTAGTGAATATGTAGTATGAATATTATGAATAGTGATTTTATTTTTTGTAATATTAATAATAATTGCTCTCTAAAAATAATTTTCCTTAAATGTATATGATTATCATACATAGTACTGTGAAAGTCCTATTTTCTTTTTTTTGGGGGTTTGTGAAATATAGTTCAGGGATAAGGGCGGACTGACCATTTGGAAACTAGGGTACTGCCCGAGGGCCCGGGGTCAGTAGGGGGCCCCATGAGATGCCCCTGGTACCTTTTTCATAGGCTTTTTTGAGTTTGGGCAAGGACACAGGGGCCCCATGATCCCCTATTGCCTGGAGGCCCCATGAGTTGTCAGTCCGCCCCTGTTCAGGGATATACTGCAGGTATAGAACTTGAGCTCAATAATTTAGTCTCCATACAATGTGTTACAATATTCGCCTTTATATACTTTAGGCTCAGTCCACACTGCTGCGACCTCAAAGCCATGTGACTTTGCACTGTGACTTCAATGCGACTTCAATGAAACTTCCATGCAACTTTGGCATTTTGCCGCTTTGGCAAATCATAACAATACTGAATGTGAGACATATTATTGAACTTGCAAAACCCTCTGCAGCCAAAGTCACAAAATTAAGACATGAACTACTTCCTTGAGACTTTTGTGATTTTAACATTGCAGTCTATGGCACTCATGTCGCAAAGAAGATGCAGTAAAGTAGTGCAGGAACTTTTTTTGCCACTTCAACTTGAGTTGCAGCAATTAAGATGGCACCCATTGAAATGAATGTGCTTTGACTCGCCACAGCAGCATGAACCAGAGCTTAAGTTAGTGCTGAGAACAAAACAAAGAACACAAGTTATGCAAGTCTTTATTAACAAATCTTCTACAACTTAATCCTTTCATTTTTTTTTTCCTGCTACAGACCTGAATGTTCCAATACCTTGGATTTCCTAAAGATTGTGTAGCACACTCCTGGTTTATCTAGGGGCAGCTATATGCTAATGGTCAACAGGAGCTGATTAGCAGGTCAGGTGTAATAGTCAGTGGGGTCAAATTGTGGTCAGGGCTGGGAGACTCTGCAGGCCAGCCCCTCCGGAGTTTCCTCCTGCTCTGAGGCTTTTGGAGGAGGGCCTTGGAGGCAGTGGATGGATCTGAAGAGTGGCTGGTTGCATTCTTGAGGGACCTCAGACAATCCCCAAAAGAAGTCTTGACAAAGGGCTGTAACTCCCTTAAATTTGTAGGAGCCAGCTCAATGGCAGGAGTGTGAATGTGAGGAGTTGGGTGGAAGAAGGAGTAGGAAGATGTGAGGCTGTAGAAAGAAGGTTGCCAGGAGTCCTAGTAGGATGGGGCCTGTCTGCGTGCCTGGAGAGGCAGAAAACATGGAGCTCACTGACCCCCTGAGCAAGGACCACCTGTATGACAGGGAAGGAGCTGCTTGCTAGCAGCAGCCAACCATCAAGCGGTACAGAAGAGGATCTGAGTACACCTGCACCCACTGGGCATATAGGGAAGGAACCCTCAAGTGGGAAACCAGATTATCCCCCTACTAGTGACTGTTCACCTCAATTAAAGGGACAGGAGCCAGATCCCCTGCTCAGGAAAAGTCTCCAAATTGCTGGGTGAAGACGAGTTCATATAGGGTGAAGACGAGTTCATATAGGGTCTAGGGTGGTACAACAAGAAGATGGTGGCTAAAACTCCAACAGAGCCTGTGTTGCCAAAGAAAGAGAAGCTTGTGAATAGTTCAGGAAGTTGTCCTCAGCTATCGGTTGCCTTGTGCATCCTATACACCCCTTACCCTATCCCAGTTCTAAATCCCCTCAATAAATAACAAAACAAAAGCTTAAGGACTGATTTCTGACTTTGAATGCAATCCTGTGTGGACAATGCAGATTGCCTGGCTATGCAGGACTATAGGGGTACCCAAACTCAGCAGCCCCCAAGGGGGTAATGCTACAATTGTATAAAATCTGTAGGTAAGAGGAAATAAAAAAGGAAAAAAAGAAAAAATGTTTTGCATATAAATAAATACACACATATATACTTATTTAGCAATAAATGAAATTGGAATCCAAAGAACGAAATTCATTTTCTCAGAAGACAGAGATCTGAGAGTTGAGAAGAAAGTGTCATGAAAGACGGACAGAGCTTATGGCTGAGTCTTTCAAGCCAGTGATAAGGTTGAAGAAAGGATTTTTTGAAATAAGATTTTGGGTCCCTGCTTCCCCTAGTGTGCGCCGTCTCTTAGTGGCGATACGGCAGACCTGTACACTTTAGAGTTCTGCATGTTGGCAACCTCTGCCAGCTTGGCTGTTTTTTTTAAGTTGAGTTTTCAAACTTCCAAGGCTGAGCATTAGTGTATCAAATAATTTCACAGTTCCACTGAACAATTGGTAGCCACGTTGGGCAATATCTCAAAGGCGCCTGTACAATGCGCACCGCCTGGAGATGCAATGGAGCTGCTTAATGTAAGGCCTTCGTAGAAGTGGACGGAACTTGGGAAAACAATATACCGTCTATGTTTCTCAATTTATTTAATTTGATTTATACTAGTTACTAAAACCTTTTATTTTTACTATATAACATTTTTACATCTCTTATTAAAAGGTGGTTTCAGTCTTTTTAAATGTGCAGGTTTAACTGAAATAATCCCTGGTTATCCTATCATAAAGATCCTTGTTCAGTTAGTCCTTCTGTCTAACATTTGTGCTTATGTGTTATCACCCTGTCACACATGACCCTGGACAAGGCTGCTAGCAGCTATGTCCATACAAATTGCTCAACCATGGTCCATCATTGTCAAGAAGCCTGTCCAGAATAATGATGTGTAGCCAAATCTGAAGCAAGTGCATGTACACACATGTCCTTGTTCAGGCACTTCTTTCCAGGGTGACAGCTGTCTAACAGTTTTGCTCCTGTCATAAAGTCATATTGTGCAGCTGTTTTCATGCTATCCCCTACTCAGGGGCGGACTGACCATTTGGAAACTCGGGCACTGCCCGAGGGCCCGGGGTCAGTAGGGGGCCCCATGAGATGCCCCTGGTACCTTTTTTCATAGGCTTTTTTGAGTTTGGGCAAGGACACAGGGGCCCCATGATCCCCTATTGCCCGGGGGCCCCATGAGTTGTCAGTCCACCCCTGCGCCTGTGTTGTCACTCTGTCAGGTGAGACCCTGGATAAGGCTACTAGTGGCCATGCTCACATTCATTTGTCAGGTATGGTCCGCCATTGTAAAGAAGCCAGTCCAGAACAATGATGTATAGCCAACGCTGAAGCAGGGGCGGACTGACAAGTCATGGGGTTCCCGGGCAATAGGAGATCATGGGGCCCCTGTGTCCTTGCCCACACTCCAAAAAAGCCTATAAAAAAGGTACCAGGGCATTTCATGGGGCCCCCTACTGATCCTGGCCCCTCAGGCAGTGCCTGAATTGTCGAATGGTCAGTCCGCCCCTGCGCTGAAGCATGTGCATGTAGACATGTGAGCCTTCCATGAAGGTCCTTGTTTAGGCACTTCCTTCCAGGATGACAGCTGGCTAACAGTTTTGCTCTTGTGTTATCACCCTGTCATATGAGACCCCGGACAAGGCTACTAGTGGCCATGCTGACACACATTGGTCAGGTATGGTCCACCATTGTCAAGAAGACAGTCCAGAACAATGATATTTGGTCAACGCTGAAACAACTGCATGTATACACATGAGCCTTCCATGAAGGTCCTTGTTCAGGCACTTCCTTCCAGGGTGACAACTGTCTAACAGTTGTGCACCTGTGTTACCACTTGCTCAGTCATGGTCTGCCATTGTCAAGAAACCAGTCCAGAACAATGATGTGAAATCTACGCTGAAGAAAGTGCATGCAGATATATTTAGAATTATCCCTGGTGATCCTGCATACAAATCCTTATTCAGGCACTTCCTTCCAGGTTGCCAACTGTATAACAGTTGTGCTTCTTTGTTATCACCCTGTCAATTGAGACCCTTGATAAGACTACTAGTTGCCATGCCAGCACAAATTGCTCAACCATGGTTCACCATTGTCAAGAAGTCTGTCCAGAACAATGACGTATAACCAACATTTAAGCGAATGCATGTAGGCTCTTCCTTTCAGGGCAACAACTGTCTAACTGTTGTGCTCCTGTGCTATCACTAGACATGTGCCATTCATTTCAATTCATTTCATTACAAAATGCAATTTGGATGAAATTTGTGTGATTTGGAGATGCATATGTATCTGAATATCCAAAACACAATAATAATGAATTTTAACAAACCTGAAATAAATTATAACGAAACAACAAATTAATTCGCATTCATTTGTTTCAGATGACATTTGTTAATGCTTCAAGCATCTGAAATAAGGTAACATAACAAGTGGTCCAAAATGATTTGGATCCATTCACTTTTATCCTTTTGAGCGTAGAGTGAATATTCTAAGATTCTTTACATATTGGGGTTGTACTTGAGAGACCATTCGTTTAATTTGTATGTGCACAGCCCAGCAAACAAAATCAGTTGGGAATTGGGAAATGAATTCAACATAATAACATGATGAATGAATACATATTCATTTTGATTCGTTTGTTTTATTAGGATGAGAGAGGTGCGGTAGTCTTTAACTCTTGGATAATCAGCCCATTCTTTTTGAATTTATGGTTCTCATTATTATATGAAATGGAAACATAATGCAATAAATACAGTAAGGTATAAAAGTGAAATAAGATGGTTCCTTCTTATTGTGTTTGAGTTGGATGGAGGTGGATCCATCAGAATATTTCAACTAAAATCTCTGTATATCTCCCAAGAAAAGTAAATCTTTCACCCTTGAAAGTGCAAATATCAAAACCTTTTCTTTCACCCTTCACCCCAAAACCTAATACCCTTCCTTTACTGAAGGGTAAAGGAAGGGTATTAGGTTTTGGGGTGAAGGGTGAAAAGAAAAGGATCCATTAGAATCTCCAAATCATAGCACGACAAATGAATCCAAAAATAATGCTCTTCTATTCCTTATTTTTGGATGTAAGCAAATCCAGTCAATATCTTCCAATCAGCTCATTCCATTGCTCTTCGTGGGTTGGACTAGCGGACTAGCTTGGAGTAGGGATATAGCCAATCTTTCAAAATCACAGAAGAATAACAGAACCAAAAATATGAATTGATTCAGTATCAGCAAATATATACTCTCCCAAAAAAAACCAAATCTCTTCAGACAATCAGTTATTCTAACATAACGATTATGATCAAATGAAATGATTTGTTTCAGTTTGATGAAATCAAAACAAAACAAATTTATCTGTCATGCACATCTCTAGCTATCACCCTGTCACATGAGATCCTGGAAAAAGCTGGTCATAGATGGATTTGCAGAAGTGCCGAAAGACTCTGCCAAGACATGCTCAGAGCCCTTCGGCACACCTGCACATGTGCCACAATGGTGGCTTGGTACTTCTTAATGCTGCAAGTAGGCAGATAGAGTCTACAAAGAGGCTTACATCTACTGTTAAATGTATGTAAAGCCAAAACATGATTACAAGTGGGCAGCACAGTGGCTAGATGGTCAGGGGCGGACTGACAGCTCAGGGGGCCCCCAGGCAATAGGGGATCATGGGGCCCCTGTCTCCTTGCCCACACTCAAAGCACACCCAAAAAAAGCCTATAAAAGGTAACAGGGCATTTCATGGGGCCCCCTACTGACCCTGGGCCCTCAGGCAGTGTCCAAGTGCTCGAATGGTCAGTTCCGCCCCTGTACATGGTTAATACATCTGCCTTACAGCACCTTGGTTCATAACCCAGACACTATCTGCATGGAGCTTCTATGTTCTTGTGTTGGCTTCTTTCTACACTCTAGATACATGTTGGTAGGTTAATTGGCCTTTAGCACTGCATGAGAGATAGTTACTGTGACGGACAGCCTGGCACTCCACTTGAGTGCCCCCATCAGAGAACTGCTTCCTTGCTGCTGTAATGCAGGAACAAGGTATTATAGCTGGGAATTGCACCCAAGAACTAGACGACACTAGCTTAGGTGCAAACAGGAACTACTTTATGGAACAGAAATATAGGTTTTTATACACTTCAAAATTAGGGGCAGTCCCCACATGAACAATGAAAACAAATATTACACATTGGGATAAACACACCACACTGGTTAGATAAGAAGGTAAAGTTGACACAAGACTAATCCCATCATGTAGGAAGCTCTAGGAGGATTAGACAACAGACAGAAACAATAGGTGACTCAATTAACTCAATTACAATGGCAGAAAGCCACAACAGTGAACACATGACACCGACTTGCCCTCCAGAGGATTTACCCCCTTCCTGACCATGCCATTTTTTACAATACAGCGCTGCGTTACTTTAACTGCTTACCCACCGCCGTATAGCAGATATACTGCTACACGGCGGCACGGGTGCGCAATATATATATATACGTGATTTTGCATTTCCAGGTAATTTCCAGGTGATTACCCACTGGCGCCCTGTGATTAGTGACAATCACCGACGGGAAGGAGGACTGTTTTGTTTACAAACAGTCTTCCTCTCCGTCAGCTCGGGCACACTGTTTGGGATGGCTGTGCACAGCACCGCCATCCCTATCAGTTTGCTTACAGTGAAGCACACCCACCCCCTAGTAAAACACTCCCAGCACAGTTAACCCCTCACATTAACCCCTTCCTGCCCAGTGTCATTAGTACAGTGTCAGTGCCATTTTTAGCACTGATCGCTGTAATGGTGTCACTGGGGATGTCAGTGACACCAAGTTAGTTCCCCCCCAGTGTCAGAATGCCCTCCGCAGTCCCACTAAAAGTCACTGATCGTCGCCATTACTAGTAGGAAAAAAACCCCCAGTATCTATACCGCCATTTGTAAATGCTATAACTTTCACGTAAACCAATTCATTTACACATATTGGGATTTTTTTTTTTTTTTTAGCAAAGACATGGAGCAGAATACATTTTTGCCTAAATTTATGACGAAATTTTGATTTTTTTCAATTTTTTTACTGGACATATTTTATAGCAAAAAGTCCAAAATATATTTTTTTTCCCCAAAATTTGCTTATAGCGCAAAAAATAAAAAACGCACAGGCGATCAAATACCACCAAAAGAAAGCTCAATTTGTGGGAAAAAAGGATGTCAATTGAATTTGGGTAAAGTGTTGCATGACCGCGCAATTGTCAGTTAAATTAACCCAGCACCTTAACGCAAAAAATGGCCTGGTCAGGAAGGGGGGAAATCCTCTGGAGGGCAAGTGGTTAACTGACAATTGCATGCAACACTGAACCCAAATGAAATGTATGTCCTTTTTTCCCACAAATACAGCTTTCTTTAGGCGGTATTTGATTGCCTCTGCATTTTTTTTTTTTTGCGCTATGAACAAAAAAAAACACCAATTTTGAAAAAAAAAATATATTTGACTTTTTGCTATAAAACATATCCAGTAAAAAAAATTTTAGAAATCAAATTTCATCATAAATTTAGGCCGAAATGTATTCTGCTCCATGTCTTTGCTAAAATAATTCTCAATGCATGGAAATTAATTGGTTTATGTGAAAGTTATTTACAAATGCGTTTATTCTGGACAAAAGAAAAAAATTATACTAGGCGGTATATACACTGGGGGGGAACTGGAATTAAAAGAAAAAAAATTATACACTAGCAGGACTGCGGTGGGCATTCTAACACTGGGCCAGGGATAGTAGAATCAGCTGAAAGAAACTGCCACTGACAGATAGCCCAATTAAAGCACTAATACAGTGATCAGTGTATCTGGAGCAAAAAGTGTCACTGATGACTGTACTAATCTGACAAGCTGTGGGCAGGTTGAAGGGGGTGTTGTCTGTAACCACTAGATGTCATCGGGGCCATCAAAAGCTGTTCAGATCCAGGGATGTGCTGTGTGCTTGTGGCACAATCCCAGCTGTTTACACATTATGTGCTGTGTGTGTTGAACAATCAGAAAAGAACTACTTAGCAAAGGTACAGCTCTTTAGGGAAACATCCAGTAGTTTGTGCTCTAACCACATGCCTGCATGGGTACTCTCCTGGAACCGATGACCAGGTAACACCCACCTGATCCATCAACACAGTTTCACTTCCCCGGACACATCTAGTGGTCACCCTACAACCGACATGGCTGCTAGGTCTTAAATTAATTGGCTCCTGTCTGGTCAGATTACTTGTTTTTCCTCATTGTATACTATCCCTGGCTCTTC